AGAAGCAAGTGCTGGCCAGATTTGGTCGACTGGCCGTAGTCTGCATCCCCGATGCAGGGTACGGAACCGCTCCCCGGGGCCTCGGTGGCCTGCGTCACTCTGTGTTTCTAGGTGTTTGCCTCCAAAAGGAGGCACTCGGAGACTTGACGTTAAAAAAATTGCTTTGTTTGGTCATTTACTCAACACGTAATATTTGTTAAGGAGCTAAGAACTTTCAGGGCCATCTATAGATGGAGCTAATCGCTGAAATGACCGATAGTGAGCTCCCCGTTCCTAGGGACATGCGAGCAGAGTGGGAGGACAGGGACAGAGAAGCTGTACGGAGAATTTAGGCATCAGGGAGGAAGTGCAAGGCAGTGTCGTCAGGTCTCCTTTTGGCCATACCAGGCACTGCGTGTGTGTAGGCCTGTGGCCTTGGCCGTCCCTGGGGGCTGGGGCCCACCTCTCCCTCTTCCCGCCCCTCCCCCAGGCCCTGACACTCATCTAAGGATCAAGTAAAAAGTCCACCGCCAGAGTGCCTGACGCGGGGACTCTGGGAGGGGCTCGGCCCCGTTGTCACTGTCTCAATTTGGGTCCCCAAAGCAAACCCCGAGCCGAGGATTTGTGTGCACGCCATTTTCTGGGGAGGTGATTCCAGCGAGTGGGAGATGTGAGGCGGTGGGGAAGCCAGTCGGGCTGGAGGCGGGTTTATAAAGGGTGTGTGCCACTGTGGCTCCCTAGGGTGTGTGCCACTGTGGCTCTCAGCCACGAGAGGGCCGGGGCACGCCTCAGGCTTGTCCACAGAGGGCACAGGCCAGGAAACTGGGATACTTGTCCAGCCACCTCCATCCCGGGCTCCGGGCTGTTCCTTCCGGCACCTGCCACCGGCCCTGTGCCCCGCGGCCAGAGCCCACTCCTTGGGTCAGAGAAACCCTCCGTAGGGCGAGGCAGGTGCAGGAGGCAGACGCGGGCAGCGTGTCCGGACACGGCCCGCAGCTCAAGACCGGCCCGCAGTGGCCGAGGGCGTGGCCAGGGAAACGCCCAGGGTCCGGCTCGTGCCCGCTTCTGCTCCAGACCCGCGCGGGGCCCCGGCCCGGAGCAGAAGCCGGACCCAGCCCGCCCGCCCCGGCCCGGGCTTCGAGGTCGTGCCGCCGCGGCGTGTGGCCTTCCCGGCCGAGCCTCAGCTCCCTTGTGGCGATGCTCGCCGACAGGGATGTCGTGAGGACGAAGCGCGAGGCGACGTGCGAGCCCAGCAGACGGGGCCTGCGCGCCCCCGGCGCTCGACAGATGACAGGGTGCCACCCCCGTGCTCCCTTGGCGGCCACGTCTCCGGCCACCGAGCCGTGGTTTTCCACGGCGGCCCTCCCAGCCCCCTCTAAAAGTGGCCTTGGTTGGCTTAAGCCGGTCAGCACCTCCCACCCCCTGGCTATGCTGATTGGTCAGGGGCGGGCATGTGACTTGATCTAGCCAATAAGAGAAGAGAATTCAGGCTGGGTTTGGTGCAGCTGAAAACGAGCGTCTCTCTGCCGGGACTCGGGTGGCGGGGAGGGTTAAGCGTTTGAGTTTGCATTAGAGCAGCATTTTGCCACCAAGAGGGGAGAGGCTGGGCTACTGGGGTACCACCTGGAGCCCGAGAATGAGTAGAGCAACAGGGTATGTCCGGGTCTGGGGTGATTGAGCAACAGGGTATGTCCGGGTCTGGGGTGATTGTCTTCTCGAGCTGCTGGATCAAGCCTTACCTGAAACCTCAAAACTTTTCAGTTACATAAGCCAACAAATTCCCTTTATGTTGAAGCCACCAGGAATTGAGGTTTTTTGTTTTGTTTTGTTTTTGTCTTTTGCAACCTAAAGAGCCCTATAGCAAATAGAGCGTCTCTCCTGGTTTCCTTCCCTCTCAGTTTCAGAAGCCGGGCCACAAACTATGGGATTCGTGGAATGGACGTGAAGAGCGAGGCCTTTCCAGAGGAAGCCAGTGGGCGGAGGAGGCTGGAAAGCCCAACAGCTGGCCTTCTGCTCATTGCTGCAGCAAAGTCCCTCCTCTCAGCTACTATGAAGCTTTGGGGACATCACAGAGACACCGTGAATGACTGAATTGATGACTGGCCAGGAGCCCAGGGTATAACTACAGTTCCCAGAGGCACGTTGAGGGCAGGAAGGAAGGGGGCACCACCCACGCGCGTGGCCCCATGTGGCTGGCATGCCATTTGGCAAGCACAGGCAACAAAGGACGTGCAAGGGCTCTTTCCTTCTCTCTCGGTAATTTCAGAAGTGGAGAAAAGCTCCAGCAGCAAGGCCCACGAGCATCACTTTGCAGAGCGGGAGACCGGGGGAGCGATTCCCAGCCAGGAGGAGGGCGGAGGAGGGACAGAGTGTGCGAGGAGGCTCGGAGTCCTGGGGTTCGCTAGCGCTTAGAAATCGCCAACTTTGCTTAACACAGTTAACACGTTTGTGCGTCCAGAGACCTTGGCAAGGAGGATGGGTGTGAGAACCGTGGGCTTTTTCCTGCTGTAACAATAATCGTGGAATAGCAGCCACCGGGCGTTCGGTGTATAACCCGCCCGTGAGTGGGCACATCGGACGGCTTAGAGCGGGCTGTCCAGGATGAGACGGTGCACGTGGATGCCAGAGCCCAGCTCTCGAGGCGGCGTCTGCTCAGTCTGTGGGTGACCTGATGGCTATGAGGCCCCAGACACGGCCGAACAGAATGCAAGTGGGTGCCCGGAGCTGGCGCTTGGAGCCAGATGGCCAGCTTGCCCACGGAGGATGGAAGAGGGTGGCAGTTAGCGAACGAGACCGTCACCAGGTGGACATCGTACATTCCTTTCAATAACCCCTGGGTCACCAATATTAGGCCATTTCACAAAGGGGTCAACCTGAGGCCGAAAGATGGGGTGACTTGCCCAGTATCACTTAGACACACTGAACAAGAGCAGGATCTGAACCCCGCTCTGAGCCCCAGAGCTAGACTTTTCTTCCTCGATATTCACCCATCCTCCCCAAACCTGCTCCTGCCTACGCTGTTTGCCCCACCACTCTCCGCGGCACCCCCAACATCAACCCAGCCCCTCCTCAAAGTCACCCTCTGCTGAATCCCCTCTTGGACCCAGCACCCAGGCATGGGGAGACCCTGGGCATCCAGCAGGGGAGTGAGATATGCAGAAAGGACCGGAGGTGGGCAGGACGCCGATCAGAGTCAGGGCACCTACTGGGCAGAAGGCGGTCAAGGGTTCATGCCACCGTGCACATGTCAGGACCTGAGTGTCACACTTTGGGACACCACTGGGGCCATTTTTTGAAGCCCAAATCGTAAGAAGGGACCCCCGGTTACTCTGGGTTTCAAAACTGTGCCCCTCTCAGCCCCAGCATGCACACGGCTGTCACCTGCAAAGCTGCTCACAGGACGGAGGCAGAGGGAGCAAACCTCCCGGACCCCCCAGGCCACCCCCGACCCTCGCAGGGCCTCCAGGAGGTCCCCAGCTCTCGGCCCACAGCATGCCTTGCCCAGGAGCTGCTGGAAGGCGACGTGGCCCTGGGCATGGTGACAGGGAGACGAGAAGTGTTGGAGGGCATCTAGGCAGCCCGCGGAGCCGCCATCTGCGCCTTTGCTCGGAGCAGGGCGGCTGCAGAGAGGAGCGTGACCTGGCAGCAATGACGACTGCTGGCCTGGAGGTGCCCCCTACGAGGGCAGAGCTGGGGACACATCCCGAGACCAGAGCAGGGGCCACTTACGCCGCAGACCAGGCACGAGGGAGGGAGGAAGGGGAGCTCATCGCTGCCTCTCATTTCATTTCTGAAAAGTACACAGAACAAAGCGCACAGCTGTGCTCCCGCCGCACAGAATGACGATCACCAGCATTTTGTTCCTATTGTCTCAACTCCTTCTCTCTTTTAGTGTGAAACACAGAAACGTTACAGATAATATTGAAGTCCTCTGCGTGCCCTGGGGCGGGGTGGGGACAGCCCGGGACCCATACGTTTCTTGCCATCAACAGCCCTCGCCTTCAAGGAAGGAAATCGAGTGCTTCTGGAGTGTGCAGTGTGCCCGAGCCGGTCCAGGGTCCGCCGCCTTGAGCCCTGTGCGCCTGGTGACGGTGCAGCAAGTGGTGACTCTTGTCCCTGCTTCATGCGGAAGACGCTGACCTGCCACGATGTAGTATGTGACTGCCTCAAGCTAGAGGAAGGCGTGTTGCCCAAGGACAGGCACACGGGGTGGGTTATTCCGGCCCCTTGACGGCGTCACCTGGACTCGGACCTTCTGTCCTCCTGCTCACCCAGCTCACGCCCGCATGCCCCACGGTGGCCCTCGGTTCCCGACATTGCCCCCATACACAACACATCTTCAGGGAGAAGAGGCACTGTCTTTGCTGTGAGCGTTGCTATGGGCTGCCCCAAATCCCCCAGCACACCTCCCCCAGTGGCCTCAGGCACCCCTTCTTGACCCGCTGCAGGCGAGAGCAGTGGCTCTACCATGTTAGGCTTGGTGGCCAAGTGCAGGAAACCGGGTGATGAGAGCAAATCGGGGTTCTGTCAGTGAGGAGGAGGGATGGGCGAGAGGCTGAGGGGGAGGGTGTGGGGCAGACAGTCCCCGACCAGTGCCAGCCGCCCTTGCTGGTGGACAATGGACAGTGGAAGGCAGAGTGGGAGCGAAGTTGGGTCGTCCACACCCTTGCACAGCACCGCCTCCCACGCCCACACCATCTCTACTACTACCGCGTGCCACCAACACGACCAAACTGCCCCCTACGCGACTCCACCTCTGCATCTCTGTGCCACTGCAGCCCCTCCCCACCGCATTCCCACAGGGCACTGCGGCTGCACTGCCTGCCGCTCGCAAGGTGAGTGGGCCCAGGAAGGAGGCGCTCTCTGCACATTGGGAGGAAGATTGGGGTGTGCTGGGATCAGGGGCTGCATCCATTAGAATTGGGTTTGGCTACAAGGCAGAAAACACAAAATAGTGGAGGATTAAACATGTGAGGATTTATTTTCTCAAATCAAAGAAATTGAGAAGTTGGCCACGCAGAGCTGGTGTGGCTGCTCCGCAATGCCGTCGAGGATCTGGGCTCCTTCCTTTCATCTCTTTTTCTACATCCTTAGCATGCAGCTTCCGTCCTGTAAGTCACCTCCTGAAGCTCCGGCCCTCATAGCTTACTTTCCTATAATACGAAAGAAGAAAAGAAGAATGCAAAGGGAAGCTTTGCCCTGCCGTCTGTCTCGACCCTTCTGAGAAGTCATGCTAAGTACTTCCATTTCCAGCCATAAAAGAGATGTAAGGGTCAGATTTAACCTCCGATCTTAACACACACACACACACGCATACACACACACATGCACACATACACACACACATGCACGACACACACACACACACACATGCACGCATGCACGCATACACACACACAGTTTTCAGATCCTGGATAAAAGGCAACCCAGGACAGTAAGCCATGAGAGAAGGTAAACAAATGAGGTGAACCCTCCAACTGCCCCTGGAGAGAGTTTCCAGGCTACGTTCCAGGGGAGGGACATCCAGATAGAGCCTGTCAGTCTCTCTGAGTTGTGACAGAGTTGAGAGCGTCCAAGGCCTCTCTAGTTTACAGTGTGGGACACCAGAGAAGAGACAGCTGCACAGAGAGGACACTTCGGAGATCTGCAGAGGGTTCTCCTCCAGCCTTCAGCCCAGTGCTGACCAGTGCGTCAGTGTGAGGACGGTACCAAGGCTGAGCAAAGAGCAACGAGAAAGAAAAAGGGAGGACGATTCCTTGGGCTCATACAGGGACGAGAATAGCTTATCTTCCCAGTAGCCACGGTGGCAAGACCTCGTTGAGTAGAGTCCTCAGAAGGGCATTGCCTCTGTAATGAGGTCAAATTTGTGCTGCACTAAAGGCTGACCTAGATCTGCCTACAGAGCTTAAAAGTAAGCTCTGAGAGGAAGAAAGTGTCTCCAAGTAACTTAACTGCATCTCAGAACAAAGCCAAATATATTTAAAGGGATAGGACAAACTCCAGCACCTAACAAAGTAAAATCATAATGCTTGGCATCTGATCAAAAATGACCAGAAATGAAAAGAAGGAGGGAAATGTGACTTAGGAGAAGAAGAAAAGTAAATCGGGAGAAATAGATCTAAAAATGACAAGATGATAGAATGAAGAAAATGGATGGAAAAACAGGTATATATCTAGGAAGGTAGAAGAAATGATGAGTATAAAGAAGAGAATATATATATATATACCCAAATCGAACTTCTAGAGTTAAAAAATACAATGTGTGAGATTGAAAAAAAAAAAAAAAACCACTGGATAAGATTTAACAGCAGATTAAACACTTTGAAAGGAAAGATCAGCCAACTAGAAGCCATGGCCAAAGAAATGACCCGAAATGAAGTGTAGGGGAAAAGGACTTGGAGGAACAATGAACAGAGGGTGGTTGAGCTGTGGGACATCGAGCGGCTTAACTCATGTGTGATTGGAGTCTTGGGGCCCTGGAGGGGAAAGAAGAGGGAACAGAAAAACTATTTGAAGAAATAATGACCAAAATGTTTCCAAATTTGATGAAAACTATAAATCTACAGATCCAAGAATCTCAATGAATCCCAAGCAGGGGAGAAAAACAGGAAGAAAACTCCAGCAGGCCATATCATGATCAAATCGCTGAAAACCCATAAAAGCATATAAAAGACACATGATGTACAGAGAAGCAAATATAAGAAAGACAGCAGATGTCTTGTTGGAAATAATCCAAGCCAAAAAAATAAATAAATAAAGTCACATCTTTATTGAGAGAAAAAAGTCAACCTAAAATCTAATACCCAGTGAAAATATCTTTCAAACATGAAAGTAAAATAAAGTCTTCTCAGACCTTCGAAATCAGAGGGCATTCGCCACCAGCAGCCAGCTCAAAATATTAAAGGGAGCCCTTCCAGCAGAAGGAAAATGAGAGCAGAAGGGGTTTGGATCTGCACAGGGGGATGAAGAACTATCATCTGGATAAATATAAAAGGGTTTTCTTCCTTGTTTTTTTAAAACCTCTTTACAAGATACTTTACTGTTCAAAAGATAAATAATAATCTATCGCAGGAGTAAAATGTACAGCAAAACAATCCGAAGTCCAGAACGCGGGAAAATGGAAGTAGCTTGTTCCAAGGTTCTTATATTATTCATGAAGTAATGTATTGTTTGAAAGTAGAGCTTGATAAATTAAAGGTATGTACCGTAAACTCTAAATCACTAAACAACGATAACAACACATACACAACCCAAGAAGTATGGCTGATAAGCCAATAAAAGGGTCAAATAAAATAATAACTATTACTCAATTCATCCAAAAATAAGGCAGGAAAAGAGGAAAAAGGGAACTAAGAAAAGATGGTCACCTAGGAAATAAGTATTAAGGTAATAAATTTAAATCCAACCGTAATAATACTCGTATTAAATATAAACCATCTAAACTCACCCATCAAATATAAATCATCTAAACTCACCAATTAAAAAGCAGAGATTATCAGATAAGATGAAAAAGTAAGCCCCCATTATACGGTGTCCACAAGAAACCCACCACAAATATAAAGGCACATATAAATGAAGAGTAAAAATGTAGAAAAAGATAAATGATATTAACGAAGTAGATAGAGAGAAAAGAATATCGCCAGGAATAAAAAGGGTGGTTTTATAATGATAATGAGTTCACTGCCTCGAGAGTTTCATAACAATCTCCAACATCTATGCACCTAATAACAAAGCTTTCAGGTGCACGATGCAGAACCTGAAAGCACCGCACAGGGCAAAAAACAAATCCACAGTTACGACGGGAGATTTCAACACCACTCTCTCTCTCTAAATAATCGACAGAAGCAGAGAGAAAATCAGTAAGGATCTAGAAGATCTGAACAACACTATCAATGACCTTGACATTTTTAGAACACTCTATGCAACAACAGAAGGGTACACATTCTTCGATGCAAAACATTTACTGAGCAAAATACGATGGGACAATCAACAAGTCTCGACAAATTGTCAAGGATCAACATCTTACAACATGTGTTCTCCTATCACAATGGAATCAAATTAGAAATTAATAACAGAGAATTATAAATCAATAATTTCTAGTTAAATTATAAATCAATAAAAGAAAATCGCCAAACATTGGAACACTAAACCACACACTCCTAAGTAAATCATGGGCCAAAGAACAAATCATAGTGGACGTTAGAAAAAATTTTAAGCTGAATACAGTGAAAATCCAGCATATAAAAATGTGTGGGATGTAGCTAAAGTAATGGTTGAAGGTAAATAGATAGCACTAAGTGCTTATATTATAAAAGAAGGAAGGTCTGAAATTAATAATCTCAGTTTTCACCTTAAGAAACTAGAGAAAAGATGAGAAAAGCCCAAAAGTAAACAGAAGAAAGAAAACTATAAAGAGCAGAAATCAATGAAATAGCGAACGTTAAGACAATAGAAAAATAAATGAAATCAAACACTGGTTCTTTAAGTTAATAAAATTGATAAACCTTTAATTAGACTGATCTGAGGGAAAAAGAGAGAACATATGTTACCAATATCAGGGGTGAAAAGAAGGGACATCACTATGGGTCCTACAGACGTCAAAAGGATAAGAAATGATTATTTGGAACAACTTTATGCCAACAAATTTGACATCTGGGGTGAATTGGACGTATTCTTGGAAGGATACAATCTATTAAAGCTCTTTCAAGAATAAATAGATCTCCGAATAGCCCTCCATCTATTAAATAAATCACGTTTGCAATTTAAAATCTTCCACGAAGAAAATTCCAGATCTAGATGGCTTTTCTGATCAATTCTACCAAACACTTAAGGAAGAAATAATACTAATTCTAAAGAAACTCTTTCAAAACAAAAAGAATAGAAGAGGAGGAAACCTTTCAACTCATCTTTGAGGCCAGGATTACCCTAATACCAAGACTAGACAACAACATTCCTGGAGAAGAAATGTATAGACCAATATTCTTCATAAATGTAGACACAAAAGCCAAAATTATTAACAAAATATTTTCAAATTGAATTCAGCAAAATATAAAAAGAATGACATCATGTCAAAGTGGGGTTTATCCCAGCAATATGAGATTTGAAAATCAGTGTAATCCAGTATGTTAACAGACTTAAAAGGAAAAAAGAAAAAAAAAAAAACATGATTATCTCAACAGATGCAAAAAATGTTTTGACAAAATTCAACTTCTATTTATTCCTAATGAAGACTCGGAAAACTTGAAACAGAAAGGAACTTTCTCAACCTGGTAAAGCCACCTAAGAAAAATGTAACAGCTTAATAGTAAGTTACACTTAGTAGTGAAGAATTCAAAGCTTGCCCCTTGAGACAGAACAAAGTAAGGATGTCCATTCTCCCCATTTCTACTCGGCATTGTGATGGAGTTCCTAGACAGTGCAATAAGGCAAGAAAACAAAGCAAAACAAAATAAAAGTCATACAGATTATAAAGCAAGTAAAACTGCCCTGACATGCAGATGTCATGCTCATCTATGTAAAAATATATAAGGAATTTACCAAAAAGCGATTAGAACAGATATGTGAGATTAGCAAGATTACCAGATATTAGGTCGATGGCATTTCTATATACTAGCAATAAACTATGGGTTAGGAAACTTTTCTTAACACAATAAACACAAACTAAAAGAAAAAAATTGATACAGTGGACTTTATTAAAATTAAAACTTTTATCTTCAAAAGACTCCTTTAAGAGAGTTAAAAAGCAAGCAAAGACTGGGAAGGGCTATCAGTGAAGCGGGTGACCGACGGAGAACTCGACAGACGAATAATAAAAACCCAAACAAGCCAACTCAGAAACAAGCCAAAGACTAAGCAGACGCTTCAGTGAAGTAGATTCTCATCACCAGTCACGAGGAAAATGAGGATTAAAACTATAATGAGATACCACTACACACCTATGACGAGCGGTAAAAATGCCAAAGACTGACCATACCAAACGCCGGCAAGGATGCAAAGCAGCTGGACCTCTCGTTCTTTGCTGGTGGAAATGGAAAATGTATAAGCACTTTGCAAGCAGTTTGGCAGTTTTTCTAACACGTGAGCGACACACCTACCACATGACCAAGCCATTCCACTCGGAGGTATTTACCCAAGAGAAATTAAAGCAGTGTGTCTACGTGAAGACTCGGATGCAAATATTCATAGCAGCTTTGCTTAGCATAGCCAAAAAGTGGAAAAAGCAAAATGTCCATTCATAAGCGAACGGATAAACAATTTACAGCATATTCAGGCGGTAGAATACGACTCAACGATAGAAAGGAATGGACTATTGATACACGCAACATGGGCGAACCTCAGAATCGTTATGCTGAGTGGAAGGAGCCAGAAATGAGAGAGACAGAGAACATTCTGTATGATTCCACTTACGTAAAACTCCAGAAAATGCAAACTAATCTATAATGGTGGAAAGCAGATCAGCAGTTGCCCGGGGACGGGTGCGAGGAATAAGGAAACGTTGACAGTTGGTAGAAATATTTGCCATCTCGATTGTGGTGACGGCTTCACCAGAATACATACGTGTGTTGAAACTTACCCATTTGTGCATTGTACGTACGAACAGTTTAGTGTAAGTCAATTGTGTCCCGATCAAGCTGTAAATAACAACAACAACTACAACAAAAATGTCCCTTTTAACAACTTCTATACGATTTCTCAGGCCTTAGCTGCAAGGGCAGCTGGGAGATGCGGTCCTCAGCCGGGCGTGTGCCTCTGACCCCAAAGCAAGGCTCCGTTAGTGAGGAAGGGAGCAGCCTGGATGGGAGGCACATCTCCCCCTACACCCTGAGCAGTCGCAGAGTTAAAGCTCCCTGGGGACTGAGTCCAGGGCCACGGGGCTAACCAGAGTCTGGGAGGCCCTCGCCGGCCTCTGCCCTCCTGCTCAGCAATCCTGCTAGGATTCAATATGGCTCTATTAGTCTCGCAGCTTCTTGCTTCCCTGACCCGGTGCCTGGGAGTGGCCACGATCCCGTGGGACCTCCCACATGCCAGCGGCCAGGGCCAACACAGACCTGTTTCCAGTCTTCACAGCATCTTGCGGAGAAGGGGTTACTATGCCATCTTACAGATGTGGAAACTAAGCCTCTGCAGAGCCGCACCTGGCCTCTCCCGGGGGGATGGTGAGGCCAAGCTGAGCCTCACCCCCGGCACTCTGTGTCCCCCGCCCCAGCTGTTTGGCCACAGAGAGGCAGGCAATGAGGGGACTAAGGGGCAGATCTCTAAGGCTGTCCCCAAGTCTGGGGAAGGCCAGCCCTGAGGCGGAACAGGATCCAGGACTGGGTCCCAGAGGGGCAGTCCCACCAGGGAAAGCCCCCAAGCCCCTCAGGCGCATCCTTGGGTCCTGGCAGAACCTTGGAGCACGTGGTCTTAGAAGCCCCCTCCCAGCTGCCAGAGGCAAACCCCTCCCCATGCAAACCCCTCCCCACGCTTGATCCCCTCTGGTGCTGGAGCCCTTGCTGCATCCCAGGCTAACTTCTTACTGTGAACCAAGTGTCTTTATTCCGCCTAGGGTCCCCCAGCCTGGTCTGCCCAGGACCGTTGCATTTTAAAGCCAAAGTCTCATGGCCCAGGAACCCCTCAGTCCTGGGCAAATCAGGTCAGTGGTTGTCCTACCTGTCTCTCAGTCAGTGACCCCACTGGCCCCAGAGGAGCACACTGGGCTCATGGACCCAGCTGGACCCCGCCTCACACGCCTCCCTCCAGCATCCTCAGGTGGGGGAAGTTGGTTGTGTCTCCCGTAGCAACCACCCCAAAGTGAACACCCAGTTCTTGGCCCTTCTGCACAGGGACCATCACATGCCCTCCCTAACCCCCAACTTGGCTGGCCCTGTTTGTGGACAAGTAAGGCCAGTGGCTCTGGGGGAAGAGGCAGGGCACTGTCACAGACGCTGCGTGCAACTGGCGGCCACTTCACCTCCCTCCGGCACGGCTCCCGAACCATCTGCGCCTCCGTTCCCCCTCTGGGACGCCTCGCTCAGGGCGGAGGCTCCACGTACCTTTCTTTCTGACTCCTTGCGTTTGATGTGTGCAGCCCAGGGTGACCCACTGCCCTGGTCTGGGGGTCACCAGCACAGAGAGACAGAGAGCTTGGGAGGAGCTCCGGCCTGGTCCAGTGCTTCTCCCGCCCCCAGCCCTGCCATCTAGGCCTGAGCGGGCGTCCCTGACCACTGTGTGACTTTGAGGCTTGCTGCGGCCACTGTTCTGGCCGCCTCTAGATCTCTCGCAGGCCCGGGAACTGGCTGGAAGACAAGAGAAACCAGCAGAAATCATTTTTCTGCCTGGTAGAGTGGGGAAAGAAGGCGGCTGCCTCTGCTGCCCAGTTTTCAGCGAGGGCACCCTCCTCGCCCCCCGGGGTGCAGCCCTGCCACCACCTGGCCTCCCTCTCCGGGGAGCGCGGTGCCCGGCACAGAGGGGTGCGCCCCAGTGTGGGGGCTCCCAGGGCTGAGACCGCAAACTCCTCCGGGACTCAGCCTGTCCTGTCCAGCACTCTGACCCTCGGCTGTAGTGAAAACTTTCTGAACAGTCACATGCGATGCAGGGGGGGTGGCAGCTCTCTCTCCAGCTGAGAAAGCAGAGCTCGGAGAGGGACTTGCAGCGGCCATGGCGGGCAGGCAGGACCAGACGCAGGGCTCCTGGCGCCCAGGACAGAGGCTGTTTGGACATCTGGGGATGTACAGGCCACCCGTACCTTGCCTGGCATTGTCCTGGGTGGGAACCAGAGAGAAGGGACATAGCCACACCCATGAGGGGCCACCATCTGGTTAGAAGAGAATTGACAGCCATTCAAGGGCGAAATGGTGAAATCAGGTGTGTCCCGAGGGCCAGGAAGTGGCTCCGTGCAGACCCTTCCCCTGCCCACCCCCACCATCCCAGGGGCTCAGGATCACATGAGCTTCTATTTTGGGGAGGGGGTGGTGTTGATTCCTGTTCTGAGCAGGGACAAGAGGAGAAGAGGCTGAGTGGGAGCACCTGGGGCTGGGCGGGCTGGGCGGTCTGGAGGGGACGTGAGGGGCACGTCACGGGTGTCAGTCGCGTCAGAGCCTCAGGAAAGGCCACGGAGGGCCTCGTGTGCTGGACGCGCCGTGTCGGGCAGTAGGGAGCCGTCGTAAGCTCTTCAGCGACAGAGGGACAGAGTCCCCAGAAGGTTACTGGGGACCCCGCTCAGGGCTCAGAACAGACATAAGGCAGGTTTCAAAGGTGGGGGCAGCAACCGGGAGCCAGTGGGGCTCCCTGGAGGGAGGGAGGAGCTCTGGGCTGGGAATGACGGGCGTGAGGGTTCGTCCAGCTCCGGGCAGCCCTGGCTTTCACTCTTTGGCCCATTAGCGCTGCCTCGGCCTCCTCCATGACCCACACTGCTCAGGACGGTGCCCGGTGAGCCCCGGAGGGCTCGGCGCTCGGCCTCCAGGCAGCCTAGCTCGAGGCCGTCCCTGACCCCAGGCTCTGCTTCTTGCCGAGTCGCCACCTCCTGCACTGCTTAGAGGCTCCGGCCCCCTGCCCCGGTGCCCAGGCCCCCGCAGCGGCCTCCCACCGCCTGCTTGGAGTCGGCTCCAGGTGCCAAGCCTCTCCAGGCGGCTCCTTCGGCCCTCGCTCCCCGTCACGCTGGGGTTCAGCCCCCCGTGTTTCCACGCTCACTCACTCACTCATTCTTTTGTCCAGCTAACCCTCACTTCAGCTCTGGGTGTCAGGCCCCCGTGGGTCTGGGGAAGCACCTGGAACCAGGGCCAGCCCTGCCTGCGGGACCCACTGTGTGGCAGAGAAGGAAAGCCCCAAGCAGTGACACCCACTGAGGTCAGGGCGAAGCGTCAGGGAGCACACAGAAACAGAGAAGCCGGGGACGGGGGAGGGCTTCTGGGTGAGGGGGCACCCCCGTGGAGACCGGAAGCCCTTTGAAAACGCATGAGTCACATTCTAAGGGAGCAAGGAAGGCGGCTCCATGCTAAGGAACAGCATGTGCAAGTGTCCCCTGGGGGTCCTTCGATGTGGCTGTGCCCCTCGAGCCACACAGAGTCCAGCTCGGTGGAGCCCCTGCCAGGAAGCAGCCCCTCGCCCCGCCTGCTGGCAAGTGCTGGGCCCGCGACCAGGAGAGCAGAGGGTGCCACCAGCTCGACGAACGGGGTCCTTCCTCAGGGGACAGCCCCGTTCTTACGGGGAAGCCAAGGACAAGTCGCACGTCAAAATTTTCTGGGCCACCCTCCAACCATAGAGACTTCTTGGGGGGGAAGGGATTTCTCATCACCTGAGGTGTCAAGCGGGTGCTAGACAACCCCTTTCGGGTGAGGTGTGGATTCAGCTACAAGCCACGCAGGGCCAGCAGCAAGGGTGGAGGTAGGAAGACCAGCCCGGAGCAGTCCGGGAAGGCTTCCAAAGGGAGACGCTTTGGAGAGCTGAGATGAGGCATCTTCCAGGCGGACGCTCCAAGGAAGGACACCTCAGGGTGAGGGGCGTGGAGGGAGCAAACCTCTCACCCACCGCAGGGTCTCCAGAGCTCACCTTCCAAGAAGCTTCTCCAGTCCCACCTTGGGGCAGGCAGCAGGCAGAGGAAGGCTGGGTCTGCCCGCAAGACTGCCAACTCTGGGGTCTGAGGGACAAGGAGGGACCGGACGCCTGCACCTGGTGTGGGGGGTCTGCAGGGCCTGCGCCCTCAGCCACCCCCGCCTGGTCCACTCGACCACCAGGAACAGAAGCCAGGCGTCACCCCAGGCTCCCCCAGGGCTCCCTCCCTCCCTCACTCACCCGTCATGTGTTCATTCTGCGCCCCGCCCCCTGTCGATCCGGGATTGCACACTCCAGCTGGGTGGATCAATGCGCACACATAAACAAATAAATCCGATAACGTGGGCGACCGCTGGGAGCCATGAAGAAAATAAAACCGGGCCTGGGGTTGAGAGCCAGGGAGTGGGGATTGCGGCCGAGGCGGTAGACAAGGCCCGAATGAGGGCAGGAAGCCTGGGGACGAGGGGCCCACACAGCCCTCGGGTGTGGTCTTTAAGCCCTGCCACTTTTATCTCTTCTTCCCACCCTCAGCTGAAACTCCACCTCCTCCAGGGAGCCTGCCTGGGTGCCACCAGTGCGCCAGGCTTCGGCTGCACTGGCTGCAGAGACCTTTCCAGACCAACCCACCTTGCAAGGATTTTCAGGTTGCACCACCTGGACCTTCTCCTCAGAGACGCCTGAAGGTGAGTCCTGTGGAAGGCAAGACTTGAATGGGGGTGACTGCCTGCCTAGGTTGACCAGGATATTCCAATCTTAGCTTAGCCTGTTCGCTAAGTGGTCTTAGATAAGGGATTTTGCCTCTCTGAGCCTCAGTTTCCTCATCTGCCAAAGGGAGCTAGTGCCACCTCCCCCATGGCCAGTGCCAGATGTTCCTCCCAACATCTGCGAGCCGGGGGGAGGGGGAAGAGAGGGCTTGCAGGGTGGGACCAGTCGGTCTTGCATGCAGGAGGGGCTCAAGTAAGTGTGCAAGCTGCCTGAGCTGAAGCATGGGCCGCCCCCACCGCCCCGCCCCGCCCCCGCCTCCCCAGCCATCTGCAGCGCTGGCAGCAGCAGAGCCAGGGCGGATGGCGAACGTTCTGGCACCATCTGAGCAGGACCAGTGTCCGGGAGGACGTGTGGGCAGAGCCCCACCTCCGTCTACACCCCACCACTATCGTCGTCCACTTGGGGAGGACAGGGACACGAGGGCTGGTGGGCGGGGAGGGGTTGGCTGGCTGGGGTCTCCTGGACTCCCACTGCCTCACACCCCTGCCTCCAACCCTCCACATGGCCTGACCCGTGTCAAACCCAAGAGGGCAGGAGTGGAGGTCAGCATCTGCCCTCCTTACTCATGATGGGGAAGCCAAGATCCCAACAGAGACCAGCCCCATGGTGAGCCCGAAACGGCCCTGTGGGAGGGCTGTGGACAGCTTGGCCCTGAGCTGCCACCTCTCATTTTGTCCTTAGCATAGGTAGCCCCACGCGCCTGGAGACAGAGAGTGTCCCCTGATGTTCGCCCTGCCCTGGGGAGCTTGGAAACCTCCCCGCACCCCCTTTTTCCATTTGTTACCCAATAATGTCCCCACAGCCTAAGGGGGAGGAGAGAGAGGACTTCGCCTGGCACTACGGGGGCCCAGCAGGCCTCTCTTTTCCTGTCTCCTTTTTATTGGTTTTCTGCCTTTTCTTAGCACCGTCCTGGGCCTGAATGTAGCATCCTGCTCCCCTAATTAAATGAGAGTGCGTAGAAACTTCAAAGATCCGACATATAAAATCCACGATGAATGGTGGTCGTGGCTGCACAATGAATGTATTTAACTTCGCTGAACTGTACACTTAAAATGGTTTAACTGGTAAGTTTTATGTTATGTATATGTTACCACAATAAAAGAATTTAAAATATATAAAGTTTCATTGGCAGCATCTTTTCATCTGCCCTGTGCTTGGAAGTGATATAAACACGTGTGAACTGTGGGCCGCCACGTCCTGAGTGAGGACGGGGGTCCAGTGCACAGGCTTTGTGACCTCTCTTTCTCACACACGGGGCCTCCCAAGCCCCTTTGCGCTTTCTCCCGAGTTCCCGTGCTGGCTGCTGCTGGGCGGGCTGGGCTGGCAGACTGGCCCAGCTGCCTCCAGGATGCCCTGATGCCCTGAGAACTGAGGCTGGTTCTTGAGGGGGCTCTCCTGGCCTGGACCACTAGAATCGCCCTGCCCAATTGCTCAGGGAGGAGAGGGCATGGTTCACCTGCACCCTTCCTCAGGGGCTCTGCTGGGGGCAGGAAGGGGGTGCTCCAGCTGGAGGTTCCCAGAAGAACCCCGACTCTGCAGCGGTCACATCGCCTTCCCGAGACTCCCGGGAAGGAAGACCCTCCCCATCACTTGGCCACCCTGTTCCAGGTGTGCTGGGTCAGGAAGAGGAGGAAGATAGGTCAGGCACCTGCGGTGATGGAGAGAGCCACAGACAGGTGGGGGGTAGGGGTAGCTTGGCGGGGACAAGCCCTTTCGACCTCTGCAGTTTCCACCTCTGAAATATGTGAGCTCCGGCAGGGGAGGAACTTGGCTTGTTTGCCGCCATATCCCCAGGGCCTAGAGCAGGCCTGGTATACAGTAGGCGTCCAATAAATGCCGAGGGACTGAATGAATGGCTGAATGGGTTGCACAGGTCAGTACTGAGGGCCTCCGGCTTTAGGGGCCCACTCACTCTTGGACTCAACGTCTCCCCTCGTGCATTCATTCCTCATTCATTCGTTCCTCCCCTGCGCGCGCCCTGCACCCATTCATTCATGCGCTCCGCCATTCACGCTCGCACGGTTCATTCATTCCCTGCCCCGCCGCCATTCCTTCCCGGCTCCGGCGCCCACGTGGCACCCAGCACCGGGGTCCG